TTAGACAAATTAAATCTGACGTAGCTTATAATATTTTAATTCGGAGTACCGGAAAATATGTTAATTAAACTATAATGCATTAAAATTAAATAAAAAATTGAAAAATCCACAATGTAAGTTTTTGTTTGTGACCACAGAATTATGCAATATGCATATACATAATGCAATATAAAATTTATATATTATTATTTATTATACTTATAAAGCAAGAATGAATATTATGTAAACGAACCATTAATTAAAGAGTTTAAATGTATATAAGCAGGAAAACAAAAAAAAAAAAATGTATGAAAAATTTTTCGAAATAATTTTTTAATTGGTTTATTGAGAATCATGATGCGTGCATTAATGTTTGTATGTACACTTATTTACTATATGTATACATATTATATAATATTTATTATGATATGCATTTATATAAATGGTTCAATAATGATATACTGAGCTTTATTTATATTTATATATTGTTTTTTTTTCGTTTTATATTATTATCGGTATGTATATTTGTAGGTCAACAATCTTGATTTTGTATACTGTAACTTATTGAGATCAAAAACTATTAAAGTATAATATTATACCTGTGTATAATATTATGTAAATATTTCAGTGACGACTTCTTCACAAACATTTTCAATATATTTGTCTTTTGAATTTCATTTGAAATTTTATAATTTGAGTAACTTGTTTTTAAAATGAAAACTTGAACTAAGAAAAACTTGTATTTGTACGTACCACAAATATAACACTTATTTATGTAATTAAATTTAAATAAAATTAATTGTACTTATTTATTGACAAAACTGTTGAAACTGGAAAATTAACTTTTGGAAAATTGTTGGAAAATAACTTTTAACTGTTTATAGGTGAATTTTCGATAATTTACCAAATTTTCGATAAATTCACCAATAATATTAAAATTTTAAATTATAAGAATAATTGTTATACATTAAAAATTAATATGCATAGATTTACAATTTTAAACTTTAATTTCCATTTTAAGACCTCATTCATAATATTCTTGAATTCACCCTGAGAGCTGCACTCGAAAAAAAAAAAAACAAAACAAAAATTGAACCTTTATGAATATGCAAATGGAATTTGCACTTTAGATACTTTAATGGAGAATGTTGCCGTTTTTTTTGTGTATAGCATAAAAAATTATGCGTTAAATTAAAAGAAAGTTCAGGACTTTTGTTCTTTATGTTTTTTTTGGGTATTTTTCCTATATTATTTTCTTTTTTGAATTTTTTTGATTTAAATTTTTTTTAATTTGTTTTTATTGTCGTCAATTCTTTTTATTTAAATTTACTCATATATATATATAAGAAAAATTACATAAATGGCAACATTATTTTTATGCCAAATTTAAATTTTACTGTATTTGCATTTTTTTTTTTTGTTTTGCCTGCTTGCTGCACCCATTGAAAATTCTTTCAATCAAATTGAAATTGTATTTGCACTACACTTCAATAATTTTCTTTCATTTTATATAAAATAAAAAGCATAAAAAAAAACGAAAAAAAATTTCATTTTTTATTTTTTAATAAAAAAAATCAAAAAAAAAAATTAAATTAGCTTTAGACCATAAGTATAAAATATCATATAAAATTGATCAAGGAAAATTCAAATGAAAATTTTCAAAATATTTTATTAATACCGGAAAGAAATTTAAATTTTTAATTTAAATATATGTACATATATGTATATATGAATATGTATATGTATATTTTGATAAGAGTGATTATAATAGATTATATAACACTATCAATTTCATTAATATGCAACTTATCGATAATGGTAATGATATATATGATTTTCAAGAAATTAAATGAAGTTTAAGTGGAAAAATATTTTAATAATGAATTTTATGTATATATATATATATATATATATATATATATATATATATGAAAGTATTTAATATTAAATAGATAGAGATGTTTGTTTTTAAATGTTATGTATGTATATAGGTCGGAATCAAAATCAATATAATTTGAATATTGAATTAATTTCATTTTTTTATTTCATTTCGTTTCTTTATTTTTTAATGAAAAATTTCATTTAAATTTTGTGATATTGAATTTTAATATATGAGTAAATTAAATACTGTTATATAATAATATATAATATGAAATTATTGGAAAAGAAATTAAAATTGTAATTGTTTTTTTTTTTTATATATAAAAATATTTTTAAGTAATGATTTTTATTTTAATTAAATGTTATTCATTAAAAAATCTTTATAATATAGCATATTAAATTTGAGATATGATGTTATTTTTTGTTATATTTTCATTTAAAGAAAAACGTATAATAGACTTAATGTAAAAAATGGAAATTTAATAATTGCTATAATTATTATGGAAATATTTAAATTCAAATATTTTAATACGAGTATAATAAATTGTTTATCATTCGTTATTTTTTATTTTAAAAAAAATTTCCTCGAATTTTATTATTTAATATTCAAGATTAATATTTGCAGGTCAATCGTTATTATAATATAAAAGCACTATAGTATAGTACAGATATTTGCAATAATTTTTTTCCACTATAAGAGAAATATACGATTCAAAACAAATATTCTTAGAAAAATAAAATTACAATTAATTACATTTCATCAGTAAAATTAAAATATTAATTTTCGAAAATTATATAATATCGAATTATTGTTAAACGAATATCCTATATTGAATATAGGAAATGGATGTATGTATAATAATGTAATTATGGGAAGAATTGAGAAATTACAAGTATTAATTAATATAAAATTTCAATTGTAATCGAAATTAGCATTGAAAATTTTAATAATTCTCATATTTTTTTTAAAATTTCAAATAATTTATATTTATTATAAAACTTAAATATATAGTTTTAATAAAATACTAATTAAATAAAATAAAATGAGAGAATAATATTGATAAAAAAAAATGAATTCAAATTAAATATTCTTTTAATTTAAAACAAATAATAATTGCAAGTATATTTATAAAAATGTAGATTTGAATGAAAAATATATAAATTAAATCAACCTGTATTGAATTCACATTGTTATTAAATATAATTAAAATTTTTTGAATAGCTTTTATTATATTTAAATTTTGTTAAAAATTTTCTGAAAATCAAATAATTGTATAATAAAAATAATTACAAGTAAATTCTCAGAATTTGTATATACCTTAGTTATTTTACAATTTGTTAAAATTAATTTCTATTAAAAAAAAAATACTTTTCTTGATGAAAGCAACACAGCGTCGTAATTATTATCATGTATGTGTGTCAAGAAAAAAAAAAAAATCTGATGTGGTCAGCACATAACCGACCGCAATGTGTATTGTCTAGTTAAGTGAAAGTGTTACAGAATATTATAAAAATGTCTGTTAAATACTTCTTTCCAATTTTTAGGACATTAGTAAGCTTATAGTTAACATACATAGAAAAATGTAAGTTTGGCTCTTAGTAGAGTTTCGCTTTGTGCTACCCGAATTCCCTGAAATGCTCGCCAGTTAGTTTCGGTAACAACCAGAACTCAAATATCAAATTTCAAGAAACTCCATCAATTCGTTCCGTAGATATGGTGAAAAATGTAAAATCGGCCCGCAAATCAGTTTTCGAGTCCTGATCTTTCCAAAAAATTTATATGTTCATAGTTTTCATACGAGGAATTTATATATTAAATTTCAATGAAATCGGTTGATTATTTCTCTTTATATACACAAAAATGTATATTTGGCCCGTAGTAAACGTCCAGTTGCTGACGCCTGATTTCTTCCAAAAGTTAGGAGGTTTCATTGCCGGTAGAGCAAAACTTATATATGAAATTTCAAGTAAATCGGTTGAATATGTTCTTCAATATGCTCAAAAATGTAAAACAGGCCCGCTAAAAAGTGCAGTTCCCGAGGCCTGATATATACCAAAAGTTGATCGATCCGTGCCATAGTGGAAATAAACTTACATATAAAATTTCATCAAAATCGGTTCAGCCGAACTTGAGATACACGCGTGCACACACAGACCGACAGACGGACAGACCGACAGACCGACAGACCGACAGACCGACAGACCGACAGGTTGCTAAAAATAGTTTATTTACACTTCCCTACTATGGAGAAGTACGTTCCCACCGAAAACTCGATATGCAAAATTTGTTGCCATCACATAACCTACCTATTGTTTACACAATACGGTCGGTAAAAATTAGTACAATAGAAAAACAAACAAGGATAATGATTTTTTTCCACGTTATATAAATTATTGGTATATAATATGTACATATAAATTTTTTCTTATTATTTTTGTGTTGTTTTTTTTCCGGAAAATTTTCATCATTAATATTATTGTTATTATTTCATTTATGTATAATATACATATATATATATATATGTAATTAGTATGTATATATGTATTCATATGTAGGTTTCATTTATTTCTTTCTTTTTTTTCTTTTAATGCTTTTAATGTTTAAAGTTTTTTAAAAAACATTTACACATTTACATTTATTATATATAATTAATTTAATAGATATAACAAATACACTTAAAAAACAGGGAAAAATTTTCTGAATAATCCTTTTTTTTATAATTTTTTTTTGTTTTAGGGTTTTTACTTTATATATATTTTTACATTATACAAATATATATATATATATATATATATAGCAAGTATTTGAGTATATACATATATATATATTTATATTTTATATAATTATTTTCACTTTTTGTTTTTTTTTATTTTATTAAATATTTATATTTATTATTTTTAATTTTTAATTATTTTAATTTAAACTTTTAATCCATTTTTATTTATTTATTTATTTTTCTCTTTTTAGTATTAATTTATTATATGTTAGTATTTATATATTTTACATATAAGCATAATATATATATTTATATATATATATATAATACTATGTACATATATATATTATATATATATATGAATATGTAATATGCGTATATGTAAATAATTTGTTTTTTTTTTTTTGTCAAATTTTTTTTATTTTTTTTTTTTCTTCATTTAATTTATACATTTAATAATTAATTAATAAAAAAAAAAAATTAATTAATATATAATATAATAATAATTAAAAAATAAAACTACAGCCTGATGCTTCTCTTTTATAGACTACACTAAATGACCATCGGCATCTGTATAACCCATTGTTGCATTAAATGTACTTAAATTATGTGTATTTGGATCATAATTACCAATTAATAGACCAGTTGGTCCAACATTTTGTACATTTAATATTTGCATATTAGCTAATTGTGATCCTTGTTGAGTTTGTTGTAATTGTTGTTGTAATTGATGTTGCTGTAATGATTGTTGTTGCTGTTGTTGTTGCTGCTGTTGCTGTTGTTGTAAATTACGTTTTGGATCTTTTAATATACTTTGTGGTTGTTTTGGTGTTGATGTTTGATGTGATGTCATCTGTGATAAACTACTTAAATTGCTGATTTGTGCTGTTGAACCATTACCAACTGTTTGTGTTGATGCTGTTGTACTATTTGGATGTAAATCATGTGTTGGTAATGGTGTTGTATGATGTGTTACATCTGGTGGTGGTACAACATTACGTATAATACCACCACGTCTTAATGTACCACCACCAGTTGGTATTATTGTTGTTTGATTTGGTTGTATATGAGCTAATGGTAATGGTGGTGTACTAAATTCCATTGGTGGATAATCCTATATATATATATATGTATAAAGAGAGGAAAAAAAGAAAAAAAAAACAATTTCATTAAAAATTTAATATGTTAATTTAGAATTACATATATACGTATATGTACATAAATGTTATGTATACATTATATACATTAAATATTAAAATAAAAGTTAATTGATTTGATTTCAGATATTTTGTATATATACGTATATACATATATTAGAAGTATATAAGTAAAATCAAATAAAAAGTTAAAAAAAAAAAACCAAACATATATTTTAGAATAATCGAAAGATTACATATGTGGATTAAAAATAATTAATTTATTTAAAATATTCAATTTAAACTAAAAAATAAAATTAAAATTCAATTTTACTCAAGGATTTTTATTCATCTCGAATTAAAATTAATTTTAAGTTCCACTTATTCTTCATATATGTAATATTAAATTTTTTCTATTTTAATATTTCGATTCGGACAAGTCGATCAAAATTGAAAATTATTTCCATTAAAAAAAATTTACTTATTTAAAAATATTCGGAAATTAAATAAGAATTTAGAGAAAGAATACATTTTTAAAATATAGAATCCTATTAAGAAGCAGTACCCAAAAATTTATTAAGACTTTATATTGAGGAGGGCTGAGAATTTTACATCTTTTATTTTTATACATAAAATAATTACAGCAAGATACATATGTATGTTGTATATATGGTACCCATAGGTAAAATTTAAATTTTTCTTCTAAAATTTCATATTGTGAGAAAATCTTTTTATCCTATGGTATAAATTCAATTATAATATCCTCGTATATTGGCATCTTATATGGAAATAGTATCAAATTCAAATTATTCATAAAAATTAATTAATGTTATTCGATTAACCTTATAATGGCTGTTTAATTTATGTAAGTAATATTATTATGGAGTGCATATGAAACCATTGTTATGTTGAACAATGCAAAACAAAAGAAATAACACGAGTTTAGCCTCGATTTTTAAATAATATCATAATTCAATTGTACTTGAATAAAAAAATTTTTTTAATTCGAATAAAATTCGACCAAATGTCGGGAATAAAAGCTTACGATCAAACTTTATTTTTTAATTCTTTTTAATTCTAAATTGCAATTGTTATATAAAAACAAAAAGTTTTTCTTCATTATAAAAAATATTATTTTCTACTTTTGAATTTTATGAAAAAATTTTTATTAATTTTAAAATAATTTTTGAAAATTTTTTTTTTCACTAAATTTATTTTCTCCTCAATTTTCTCGTATTTGTTTTTTAATTTAAACTTTATTTAAAATTTTCCTCTTTTTTTTATTTTTTTTCGCTTCTATTTCTATTCTCTTTGTATAATATATTAATTTTACGTTTTGTAAAATTTCAATTCTCCCTATATGTTGTCATAATTTTTCTATATAGTTTACATAGATAGATGCTTTTTACTCTTTAACTTTCTTCTTCTTAATTTTAGTTTTTTTTTTTTGTTTGTTCCTAAATAGTTAAAAACGTATAGAGATGTAATAATAAAGTACAGAGAAAAAAAATAACATAATTTTGCAAATACATAATGTAGTTGTTGCGCTCTTTTACATAACCTAAACGATATATGTATATATGCAAATGAAAACATACGTAAATTTAAATGCAATTTATTTGATATAAAATGTAATATTATTACTCGTATTCTTGTACTACCGTACATCCATAAAAAGGAGATTCTGTTTTACGTATGTTAATAAAGGACTTATATAATAATATATGCTTATTTACACAATTTGTACACAATACACAATTTATAGATATTATATATGTATATGAGAAGCATTTATGAATATTTATATATAGGTATATAGGTATAGATTATGTTATGAATTATTATACAAATATTACATGTTAAAAAAAAAAAATAGCTCCAAAAACCCAAAAAAAAAAAATTTCATTGCATAAATTCATAAATATTACAGGATGAAAAAAGTAAAAATTTAATTCAGAATCAGAGCGAGCACAGCAGTAATAATGATGGCACAACAGTGTGTTTTCGTTGGCATCTTTTTAATATTTTCAAAAAAGAACAACTTAAAAAGAAAGCTAAAAAAAAAAAAAAAATAAATTGGAATGAAAGTTTAACAATAAGAATAGTAAAAAAAAATTTTTGTGGTATTTATAATTGCATAAAATGGTTTTCATTTTGTGCACACTATTTAATTGGGTGAAACAAAAAGTTTTAGGTAAGTAATTTTTGAGGTTAAATATTTTTGGTTATATCTTAGACATATATATATATATATATTGTATTCTTTGTTTGGTATACATATAATATTATATATACATATATATATATCCATATATCCACTTATTCTTAAAATAAATTATTTTACTTTAGAAAACATTTTTATTTAGGAAAATTATTGTAAATCTTTTGGTATAAGAAAGAAAGTGATAAATAAATTTTATAGTTAACTTATATTATTAGATTTATCTGAAGTTATGAACTTCGAAAATATGAGAATATTTACTAATATCAATATTTTTAATGAAAACAAACTCTCCTATAATCTAATTTACTTGAAAGTTAAAAATTTATAACTGAATCAATTAAATTGACATTCGATTTTTATTTTGATAAAAAAGATTCTTGCAATTCCCTTAAAGTGCGTCGGTTTCTATTTGCTCAGAATCTAATTATTTTATTTTCTTCTAATTACATGAATCTTATCCGTAGTGTAATATATTAATTATACTTATATACCATTTTATGGAAAAATTTTCACGAATTTCTTGTTGGCACTGCGAATTCAAGATAACATTTTCTTATTGTTCTATAATTCAGCAATTTTTTCGCACATTTCAGCCGAATCGCTACCAATAATAACCCGTTTTTCAGATGTCAATGTGCATTTATACTTTCTTGTATATTACGAGTATATCTCGTATATTATATTTTTTTATACCGTATTTACATTATCGTATAATTTATAAGATGTTATAAATTTTTTAAACCTAAAAGATATTTTGGAACATAATTTTACCATATTTATAGAATGCGTCTGTTAAATTTTTACAAATATTTTTTTTATATTTTCTAAAAGTATTCCCTTGCTTAAAGCACATTATTAATTTGAACACTGGACAGACGAACACCTCTATAAAATAACACTGTATCTGCATGAATTACACATCCTATAAATAATTGCGTTACGAAAAAAAAAATTAACAACAAAAAAAAAAGTTGAAAAAATACATAATATACACACATCCGTACATAAAATAATTTTTTATGAATGGGAAACTTCCTGGTTCGTAAAACAGTCTTTTCTGCTTTATTAAAATCATAACATAAAATAAAAAAAAACATGCATAACACTATAGTTATGACTTACTGAATGTATGTACATATATACAACATATACATAAATATTTTATATATGTAGGTTATTTTTCATAAATAATTATACTAAAATACAAAACCCATATACATTTTATTATGTATATACTAATATTATTTTACATACTTGTTTATATAATATAATTTCACATGTGTATTCAAAACAACAGTAAACAGATACTTTTATAACAGTATGATATTAAATCAACATAAATAATATTTAAAAGTACAGAGTGAAAAAAAAACTAAAATTGAGAGCAGAGCCAAATATGTTAAAAAACTATTTCTCTATACCTTACATATGATTATTATTATATTAAAAGAAAACTAACATCATACAAATACTAGAAAGCTCATAGTTCATGAAATTATAAAAAAAAAAAAAAAGTGAAGACATAATAAGAGAGACGGGTAACGAAACAGCGAAAGGAACAAAAGAGGTGAATATAAATAATGTAAATAGGAACAGGGAGTTAAAACATCATGTAAACTAGATCGCATTCATCCTCCACAATTACTATTATGCTATACATTACATTATGTTCCATATGACGTGTATAACATACTTAGTTTAAAATATTAAGAACAACTTGGTGTTGTGTTTGGAGGGAAATGAAATATTAAAATTATGCAAGTATAGATATTATATTGTATATAATTATACGCCTACATACACATTTGTGTATATTCTTGTAAAAAAATAAAAAAAAAAAACAGCAAAAAAAGGATTAACATTGCTTAAAAACTGATTTTATTTACTTGTTTTTTTTTCTCATTTATTTTCTCGCTTATTTTTGTTTCTGTTTTATGAAACAAAAAGGACATGCAGATGATGAAGTTTGTTAAATGCGGATTTATTTTCACTTTATGAATTTAAAGAAAAAACGAAAATTAAAAGTCGAAACGGAAAAATATTTATTAAAAATAACACTAAAAAATTAAAAAAAGAATTTCTATATTGTTTGACCTTAAAAAAATCAAAATAGTTACTTATTAAAAGTTATGAGGAAAAAAATTTTTAAATTTTCAATTTTATGCTTAAAAAATATTGTCAATATGAAGAAATTTAAATTTTGATTTGAAAGTAAATTCACATTATAGTTAGGTTAGAATATTATAAAATGCGCCCCGGTTCTGACTTGTTCGGGTTTAAACATTGTATATATTCCGCACGATAATTGTGTTCCGGCGTTCATTGCATATGCTTATTTTGCATATATGGTAGTTCCGATACATTGTAGTTGCTCAGATAATGAAGTTCATCTAATAATAAAACCGTCCAGTTGAAAGGACGAAACAGGCTTTGTTGGAATTAGAAATGACTGAATATTATCAATTGAATATAAGAATTATATTTCAAAAAATTATGTTTGATTTTAATATACATATTGACTTTGTGATTATAAATTAATTTGATTTCAATTGTTGTTTATATAACGTAAGTGATGCTATTCGAATTTAATGAATTCTTAATACCATAATTTACAAAATGTCTGCTAATATTTTTTTGGCAATATCGAAATTAATTGAATTTAGTTTGGCACTTTTGTCTTTTCATAAAAGGACACTTGTATTCATCTGTAATTAGTTTTTCAATATTAAATATTTTATGGTCAGTAAAATAGAC